GACTTAGGTATATTTTTAAAACATTTTAGTTAACATACTAGTATATTTTAAAACCCTGGTGTAGACATGGGACAAGCTGTATTTTAACATGTGTTAGCTGGTAGAGATGAACCCTAGCAGTTGCGTTGCCTACACTATGGTGTTAAACATGTTTTCCAACATGTTTTTAAAAGACACCTTTCAGTCTAGCCCAGACACACCCTCGGGGGTTAACAAGCCCAAGGCTTGAAAAATTCACTTGCCACTGAAGATGGGGAAGCTCTCCTGGGTGAATATCAGCATCTCCGCAGCATCTAAGCTCACACATAGAAAAATTATATTTCTAGCCCTTATGGCTGTGATTAAAGCCTTTTAAACAAAAGTCATATGCACTAATCAGTCCATATGCAGTGAAAATTCCCACTGCAGCTAAGAGGATTAAGACAGACAGGATGAGTCCTTTCCTCGTGCACACATAGTTTTCCCCCCATTGATATTAATGGGAGCTCTTCACATGGATGAAGAGGAAATACAGATCGCATAATATGTTGAATTGTAGAAAAAGAGTGGTAAAGATACACAGATATACAAATTCATTGCAAGCTTCTTACCTGAAAGAAAATCTGCAGATATATAGGCTTTTTCAGCATCCACAAAACTGAAAACCCAAACTGAATTAACAGACTTAAATACCAAAATGAAGAACAAAGACCATGTACACAGTACAATAATTAAAGACACACATACAGGAAGACCAGTATTTCTCCATAATAAATAAGCATCTGCAGGAAAGGCTGCTGAAGGCAATGGTTTGTTCATCCTTGTGCCCTCATAATTAAATTTTTTTCTTCACAATTTCTTTTTTGATGTATAAAATAATACCTCAGAACTCAAAACCTATTATTACATCCAATACCTGTTATTTATGGGGATAATAGACAACCAGCCAATGGAAAATGCATTTAACTGTTGAAAGGAACAAAGGCCAAATCCTGAATCAGGCATAGGTCCCACAGAAGACTGAGTAATTTTGCCTGAATAAGGACTTCAATCATTTGGACCAATGTTAGAAAGTAATTTATAAGAAAACTCTAGAGCTTAAAGGGCCAGTTAGGTCAAATCTGGACAAGATGCAGCTGTTATAAAAACAAGGTGTTAGATCAATAGAAATATTTCAATGACGTGAGAGTTTTATAATTTCAGTAGAGACAGACACTGGGACAGATTGATTGTCAGCTGGTTAAACCAGCATGGCACTATAATTATGCTGATTTATGCCAGCTAAGAATCTGACCGGGGTTTAAAAACATATTATTATTCATACCTATGTCTCTTAGCATGCCCCAAGAGCAAACAGTTCTTTTCACCCCCTGGGTAACACTATTAGGTGTAAGATTTCAGAGTAACAGCCGTGTTAGTCTGTATTCGCAAAAAGAAAAGGAGTACTTGTGGCACCTTAGAGACTAACCAGTTTATTTGAGCATGAGCTTTCGTGAGCTACAGCTCACTTCATCGGATGCATAACTGAGGCACACATAGGATTCATAAAAATATTACAAAAATGCCTACTTCAACTCACCTCTATGATACAGACCTCCCCATGTCAGGCCCTATGGAGGACTCGCACAGTTCAGGGTGAGTGCTAGGGAAGGGAATGAGACTAGGTGAGCAGGGAAGGGAGTCATGGATGGGGCAGGGATGCACATCATTTCCCATCAGATTGCAGAAATTAGACAAAATGAACATAGAGCCGAGGCCATATTATCTTTTACCCTTTCAAGGGTCTCGGGGACAACTAGGACAACAAAGGGGTGCTCCTGGCAGCCTGGCTCCCATGCTGGCGGGGGGGGTCTGTTGGAGCTAGAGCCATTGAGGACGAACCAGGGATTCCACCAGGTTTGGGATCAAGCCCTACAGCCTTTTCCATGTGATGGCAATCTGCCCCTGACTCCCTGAAAGGGGACACTGGGGAAGAGAGGAATCTCTGTTAGGAGATCTTCACAGAGGTTCAGTCCTTGTAGGAGGTGTTGTCCTGGCCCTTTACTCTTTAGTGGCAGTTTCCATCCTGATACCGTTTTAAACCATTGCAGACATTATCTATTCCACTAGAGAGCAACGTTAGACCACCTAGTTTTCCTTTGTTCCACACTGTTGAAGGAAGTACCTGTGCATTAGCACAGACAACTATGCTGCAATCGTTTGCTGTTAGCAACACTGAAGATATTTGCAACCAAGGTAAACAGTAACCAACAGCCTGTTCATCATTTGATTATATAGGGAATAAAAACAGCATGAAAGTTTTTTTCCTATCAAATAATAACAATTCAGTGACAACTTATATTAACAAGCATTTGGTGTCCATTTGTGTTATATTACAGCACTGCATTTGAAAAGAAAAAGAAAAGAAAAGAAAAGAAAAGAAAAGAAAAGAAAAGAAAAGAAAAGAAAAGAAAAGAAAAGAAAAGAAAAAGCCTAGCAGAAAACTTGTATTATTATCCCTAATTTTCTGGAGATGATGGAGTCTTTAACAAGCCATGCATTATGAAGTTTTTAATAGTCTTTAATTTTTGTTTTTACTCCAAACTATCAGAATTTTCTCTCCTGACTGGTCTGTCTGTTGACTCACTGATTCTCACACTCAGTTTGCTTTAGGGGCACACGCCAGCATGGATGTGCACTACTATCTCCTCCCAGATTTGTTGTCAGCTTCACAGATGCAGGTATTAGTGAATAGCTCCACTGGCTCTCCACCTACCAAGGTAGCCCCCTGGACTGTGGATATTTCCAGGGCCAGGAGAAGGGTTATGACTGGATACATTCCCCACCCTCATGTTCTGATGTGAGATTCATTAGATGGTGAAATAGTTCCAGTCCATTTCCTACATATCCCTATGACAACAGGCACCCTTGTTACAGTCTCCACACAGAGGCCATGCAGTTTTGTTTTTGAAAGAAACTTATTCTACAAACTTAAAAATTCCTAAAATTAAAGGTTGATTTGACTTATGTCACCCATAGTTCATGCTGTCATCAAACTCCTCGTTGAAATTAGAGACATAATTTACAGCTACTTCACTATTACTATGGGTATGTCTACACTACAAAATTAAGTCGAATTTATAGAAGTCGGTTTTTTAGAAATCGGTTTTATATATTCGAGTATGTGTGTCCCCACAGAAAATGCTCTAAAGTGCATTAAGTGCATTAACTCGGCGGAGCGCTTCCACAGTACCGAGGCAAGCGTCGACTTCCGGAGCGTTGCACTGTGGGTAGCTATCCCACAGTTCCCGCAGTCTCCGCTGCCCATTGGAATTCTGGGTTGAGATCCCAATGCCTGATGGGGCTAAAACATTGTCGCGGGTGGTTCTGGGTACATATCGTCAGCCCCCCGTTCCCTCCCTCCCCCCCCCCGTGAAAGCAAGGGCAGACAATCATTTCGCGCCTTTTTTCCTGAGTTACCTGTGCAGACGCCATACCACGGCAAGCATGGAGCCCGCTCAGCTCACTTTGGCAATTAGGAGCACATTAACCACCACACGCATTATTCAGCAGTATATGCAGCACCAGAACATGGCAACGCGATACCGGGCGAGGAGGCGACGTCAGCGCGGTCCCGTGAGTGATCAGGACATGGACACAGATTTCTCTGAAAGCATGGGCCCTGACAATGCATGCATCATGGTGCTAATGGGGCAGGTTCATGCTGTGGAATGCCGATTCTGGGCTCGGGAAACAAGCACAGACTGGTGGGACCGCATAGTGTTGCAGGTCTGGGACGATTCCCAGTGGCTGCGAAACTTTCGCATGCGTAGGAGCACTTTCATGGAACTTTGTGACTTGCTTTCCCCTGCCCTGAAGCGCATGAATACCAAGATGAGAGCAGCCCTCACAGTTGAGAAGCGAGTGGCGATAGCCCTGTGGAAGCTTGCAACGCCAGACAGCTACCGGTCAGTTGGGAATCAATTTGGAGTGGGCAAATCTACTGTGGGGGCTGCTGTGATGCAAGTAGCCCACGCAATCAAAGATCTGCTGATATCAAGGGTAGTGACCCTGGGAAATGTGCAGGTCATAGTGGATGGCTTTGCTGCAATGGGATTCCCTAACTGTGGTGGGGCTATAGACGGAACCCATATCCCTATCTTGGCACCGGAGCACCAAGCCGCCGAGTACATAAACCGCAAGGGGTACTTTTCAATAGTGCTGCAAGCTCTGGTGGATCACAAGGGACGTTTCACCAACATCAACGTGGGATGGCCGGGAAAGGTGCATGATGCTCGCATCTTCAGGAACTCTGGTCTGTTTCAAAAGCTGCAGGAAGGGACTTTATTCCCAGACCAGAAAATAACTGTTGGGGATGTTGAAATGCCTATATGTATCCTTGGGGACCCAGCCTACCCCTTAATGCCATGGCTCATGAAGCCGTACACAGGCAGCCTGGACAGTGGTCAGGAGCTGTTCAACTACAGGCTGAGCAAGTGCAGAATGGTGGTAGAATGTGCATTTGGACGTTTAAAGGCGCACTGGCGCAGTTTACTGACTCGCTTAGACCTCAGCGAAACCAATATTCCCACTGTTATTACTGCTTGCTGTGTGCTCCACAATATCTGTGAGAGTAAGGGGGAGACGTTTATGGCGGGGTGGGAGGTTGAGGCAAATCGCCTAGCTGCTGGTTACGCGCAGCCAGACACCAGGGCGGTTAGAAGAGCACAGGAGGGCGCGGTACGCATCAGAGAAGCTTTGAAAACCAGTTTCATGACTGGCCAGGCTACAGTGTGAAAGTTCTGTTTGTTTCTCCTTGATGAACCCCCCCGCCCCTTGGTTCACTCTACTTCCCTGTAAGCTAACCACCCTCCCCTCCTCCCTTTAATCATTGCTTGCAGAGCCAATAAAGTCATTGCTGCTTCACAGTCATGCATTCGTTATTCATTCATCACACAAATAGGGGGATGACTACCAAGGTATCCCAGGAGGGGTGGTGGAGGAGGGAAAGAAAATGCCACACAGCACTTTAAGCACAGCACTTTAAAAGTTTACAACTTTAAAATTTATTGAATGACAGTCTTCTTTTTTTTGGGCAATCCTCTGTGGTGGAGTGGCTGGTTGGCCGGAGGCCCCCCCACCGCGTTCTTGGGCGTCTGGGTGTGGAGGCTATGGAACTTGGGGAGGAGGGCGGTTGGTTACAGAGGGGCTGCAGTGGCAGTCTGTGCTCCAGCTGCCTTTGCTGCAGCTCAACCATACACTGGAGCATACTAGTTTGGTCCTGCAGCAGCCTCAGCATTGAATCCTGCCTCCTCTCATCACGCTGCCGCCACCTTTCAGCTTCAGCCCTGTCTTCAGCCCGCCACTTACTCTCTTCAGCCCGCCACTTACTCTCTTCAGCCCGCCATCTCTCCTCCCGGTCATTTTGTGCTTTCCTGCACTCTGACATTATTTGCCTCCACGCATTCGTCTGTGCTCTGTCAGTGTGGGAGGACAGCATGAGCTCGGAGAACATTTCATCGCGAGTGCGTTTTTTTTTCTTTCTAAGCTTCACTAGCCTCTGGGAAGGAGAAGATCCTGTGATCATTGAAACACATGCAGCTGGTGGAGAAAAAAAAAGGGACAGCGGTATTTAAAAAGACACATTTTATAAAACAGTTGCTACACTCTTTCAGGGTAAACCTTGCTGTTAACATTACATACATAGCACATGTGCTTTCGTTACAAAGTCGCATTTTGCCTCCTCCCACCGCGTGAACGGATTTTGGTTGAATGCCAGCAAACATACACTGCATGCTTTGTTCTACAGTGATTCCCGAGTACGTGTTACTGGCCTGGAGTGGTAAAGTGTCCTACCATGAAGGACGAAATAAGGCTGCCCTCCCCAGAAACCTTTTGCAAAGGCAGAACCGCAAATGCCAGGGCAAAGTAATCCTTTCACATGCTTGCTTTTAAACCATGTATAGCATTTTAAAAGGTACACTCACCAGAGGTCCCTTCTCCGCCTGCTGAGTCCAGGAGGCAGCCTTGGGTGGGTTCAGGGGGTACTGGCTCCAGGTCTAGGGTGAGAAACAGTTCCTGGCTGTCGGGAAAACCGGTTTCTCCGCTTGCTTGCTGTGAGCTATCTACAACCTCCTCATCATCATCTTCTTCGTCCCCAAAACCTACTTCCATATTGCCTCCATCTCCATTGAAGGAGTCAAACAACACGGCTGGGGTAGTGGTGGCTGAACCCCCTAAAATGGCATGCAGCTCATCATAGAAGCGGCATGTTTGGGGCTCTGACCCAGAGCGGCTGTTCGCCTCTCTGGTTTTCTGGTAGGCTTGCCTCAGCTCCTTCAGTTTCACGCGGCACTGCTTCGGGTCCCTGTTATGGCCTCTGTCCTTCATGCCCTGGGAGGTTTTCAGAAAGGTTTTGGCATTTCGAAAACTGGAACGGAGTTCTGATAGCACGGATTCCTCTCCCCAAACAGCGATCAGATCCCGTACCTCCCGTTCGGTCCATGCTGGAGCTCTTTTGCGATTCTGGGACTCCATCATGGTCACCTGTGCTGATGAGCTCTGCATGGTCACCTGCAGCTTGCCACGCTGGCCAAACAGGAAATGAGATTCAAAAGTTCGCGGTTCTTTTCCTGTCTACCTGGCCAGTGCATCTGAGTTGAGAGTGCTGTCCAGAGCGGTCATAATGGAGCACTCTGGGATAGCTCCCGGAGGCCAATACCATCGAATTGTGTCCACAGTACCCCAAATTCGAGCCGGCAACGTCGATTTAAGCGCTAATCCACTTGTCAGGGGTGGAGTAAGGAAATCGATTTTAAGAGCCCTTTAAGTCGAAATAAAGGGCTTCATTGTGTGGACGGGTGCAGGTTTAAATCGATTTAACGCTGCTAAATTCGACCTAAAGTCCTAGTGTAGACCAGGGCTATGTCCCTCAGGAGACTATTTTTAGTAGGATCCCAGTCATATTATTGTACTAGGTTTGTTTGTTTGAATAATAAATAAGAATAAGAATAATACAAACAAACAAACAAGGGAATATGATTCAAATGTCTCATCCCTTCACAAATATAAAAATAAGTATCCATTTCCTCTACACTAAATTCTGAAATCACAGACAAGTTCTGTAAAGATTACACCTTAATCAAGACCACCACATGGTCCTGCGATGGATCATACAATACTTGTTTTTTAAATAGCAGTTAGTGTAATTCACAAATTTGTACATACGCCTATATCCTTTGCAATTCAGAACACTTTACAGGAAAATGTGGAGCTATTTTCTATATCTTTATTTAGATCCTTGATTATAAACCAATGCACTTATGTGACCAAATTATCAAATCTGAGTGAAGTCTCTATCAAGTACATTTAGAACAAGAAAGAATGCACAAATGAACCCAGATAGGTTAAAATGGGAAGACATTCATGAAGGCAACTATAATATTATATTTCTCAGGAATCAGAAAAAGGATAGATTAAAACTTTAATGATCCTGAAAAAGAAGATCAAAAAATAAAATATCTTGAGAAAGTGATTTAATATAGTATAGTCTAAAACAATTCAATACAAGCTATAATTTAGTGAGGAATGGGTAAGACTAGAACCACAGAGAGCTAACATATCTCTGTTTATCATCGGACATAGGTTACATATGGTGTAATGAGCCAGTTGCAAGTGATGGAGTCAATTCACTTCACTAGGAGAGTGAAGACAGTAAATAGGAACAAGTTTGATTTCTCCCTTCTTACCTCTCCCATCTCAAACCCCACCCCAAACTTTAAAGCATGGGTTTGTTTAGATTCAGATTTCTGCTAAATTTTACAAATTAAGGAACGTATCTACACACAACTGTCATTGTACTTAGGTTATGTAAAGTTATTTTCATATATTTGGTTCTTAGAAAATCCCACAGGTGTGGATGGCTGCCAAGTTTTAAGAGGTTTTAGATTTAAAATAGGCAATATTTACAAAAGGTAAGCACCAGGATTACTTACACAGCAGTGCCCTATTAATCAGTACAGGGCAGGTGTTGTTATTTAAGACTCTTTATTCCAATTTTGTTGACTAAGCCAAATATGATCAGTTTTCACCTAATTATTACACACACCAAAGAAGGTCTCTCTATCTCCATATCCCTGCCACTTTCTGCTAGGAAAGCCGGATTTTAATTAAAATTAGGAGCCTATATCTTTACTAAGAAAGATACAGTGTCAAGGACTCAGTGCAGACATCAGTGCTGCCAACTTTCATGGTTTTATCATGAGTTTTGGGATATCTGGTGTTTTTCAGGAAACCACACCTCCTGGAGTCCTGTGACTCTCAGTTTTCATTGAAAAGGTAAGTTTCTAATCATCATATTGTAGAAAAAGCTTAAAAAGTGAGCCCTAAAGGCTCAACCACAAGAAGGTAAATAAAATATCTCTAAATTTATTATTTTTTAAAATCTCATTATTTTTATGCTAAACTAATGATTTGGGGGCCTGATTCATGATCTTTGAACCCCTAGAGTTGGCAATACTTAGACATCTAGAATTTTGATGTGAAGAGATAATAAAGAATGTTTGTGGGTCTGATTACAGCAAACTGTTTCCCTAGCCAGAGAAAGGAAGGAAAGCTCACAACATGATCAAGCCCTTTTTAAGTTTACTGACTACCACAAAGGTCACAAACACCACAGAATAGACAACTTAGCTGAAAGCAATGCTTGTATTCTACAGAGATGCCTCTACCAGGTTGGGGGGAGAAGGGATAAAGAAGGTGGGCAAACCCTTCCACTGACGCCTCCTCATACCCAACTTCCTCTTCCTTAAAATACCCCATTCAGCCATACCAGGAGGCAGGGGATCCCTTAAATCTTTCCTGGCTGTTGTGTCTACCTACCATATACTAAAATTGGAACGATACAGAGAAGATTAGCATGGCCCCTGCGCAAGGATGACACGCAAATTCATGAAGCGTTCCATTTAAAAAAAAATAAGCACTACGGCTCCATACTGTAACTTCAGATCTGAACCACCACCAGAGTTTGGGGATGTTCAAATTCAAATCCCTGGACCAGACCTACCCCTGTAGTTTTTGAAGCTGGATCAGACCTGATTTCTGGATGTGGAACCCTAGATTACAGAAGCCTCTTGAATGATGTCTCAGGAGATTTCAACCCATGATCAAATTGTAGGCTGAAATCTTACCAGTAGAATGAAAACATGAATAATCAGTCACAAAATCTTTGACTGTTTGGTATGACAAAGCTATTTTTCTCTGTTCAGCTAATGAACACGTATGTGTTTCTATATTCCTTCCTTGAGATACAGAAATAACTCTCCTCTACCCATTGGACAAGTGGCAGTGCATTCACACAGATGAACTTGTGATGACATGAAATAATAAATACAAGCTGAATTAATGCATAGTAACTAGAAATATGTCCAAACAGTTCAGTGTTCTCCCACTATTAAAAAACAAAATCTAAGAAAAGGCACGGTCTTGACATCAGTTTTCATGTCCAGTCTGTTTTGCCTCTGTGGACAACTTCCGTTAGTCCACACACACTTCGCTAGGTGTTATCTGTCCAATCAATGGCAATGTTCGACTGTCAGGCATTGCCTCGTTGTTCAAGTCAGCCTTGCCCTTCACTAGCAAAAGCTATAGTGCTACACTTATTCCATATTAAAGGGTATGTCTACACTACGAAATTAGGTCGAATTTATAGAAGTCGGTTTTTTAGAAATCGGTTTTCTATATTCGAGTGTGTGTGTCCCCACAGAAAATGCTCTAAGTGCATTAAGTGCATTAACTCAGCGGAGCGCTTCCACAGTACCGAGGCAAGCGTCGACTTCCGGAGCGTTGCACTGTGGGTAGCTATCCCACAGTTCCCGCAGTCTCCGCTGCCCATTGGAATTCTGGGTTGAGATCCCAATGCCTGATGGGGCTAAAACATTGTCGCGGGTGGTTCTGGGTACATATCGTCAGGCCCCCGTTCCCTCCCTCCCTCCGTGAAAGCAAGGGCAGACAATCGTTTCGCGCCTTTTTCCCTGAGTTATCTGTGCAGACGCCATACCACGGCAAGCATGGAGCCCGCTCAGCTCACTGTCACCGTATGTCTCCTGGGTGCTGGCAGACGCGGTACTGCATTGCTACACAGCAGCAGCAATCCATTGCCTTGTGGCAGCAGACAGTGCAATAGGACTGGTAGCCGTCATCATCATGTCCGAGGTGCTCCTGGTCGCCTCTGTGAGGTCGATCAGGAGCGCCTGGGCAGACATGGGCGCAGGGACTAAATTTGGAGTGACCTGATCAGGTCATTCTCTTTAGTCCTGCAGTCAGTCCTATTGAACCATCTTATGGTGAGCAGGCAGGTGATACGGATTGCTAGCAGTCCTATTGCATCATCTTCTGCCGGGCAGGCGAGAGATGAGGATGGCTAACAGTCCTATTGTACCATCTTCTGCCGAGCAGCCATGAGATGTGGATGGCATGCAATCCTTCTGCACCGTCTGCTGCCAGCCAAAGATGTAAAAGATAGATGGAGTGTATCAAAACAAGAAATAGACCAGATTTGTTTTGTACTCATTTGCCAAACCCCTCCCCGACCCCCGTCTAGGGGACTCGTTCCTCTAGGTCACACTGCAGTCACTCACAGAGAAGGTGCAGCGAGGTAAATCTAGCCATGTATCAATCAGAGGCCAGACTAACCTCCTTGTTCCAATAAGAACAATAACTTAGGTGCACCATTTCCTTTGGAACCCTCCGTGAAGTCTTGCCTGAAATACTCCTTGATGTAAAGCCACCCCCTTTGTTGATTTTAACTCCCTGTAAGCCATGTCGTCAGTTGCCCCTCCCTGCATCAGAGCAACGGCAAACAATCGTATATCTGAGTTGAGAGTGCTGTCCAGAGCAGTTACAATGGAGCACTCTGGGATAGCTCCCGGAGGCCAATACCGTCGAATTGTGTGCACAGTACCCCAAATTAGACCCGGCAAGGCCGATTCAAGCGCTAATCCACTTGTCAGGGGTGGAGTAAGGAAATCGATTTTAAGAGCCCTTTAAGTCGAAATAAAGGGCTTCATTGTGTGGACGGGTGCAGGTTTACATCGATTTAACGCTGCTAAATTCGACCTAAAGTCCTGGTGTAGACCAGGGCAAAATGCTGTAATCATTATGTTTTTTAATACTGTGAAATCCAGGCTACCAACTGTTTTATGAGACAATGGCTTTATAGATCTATACAAGACCAAATTTCATTCAACGTGGATTCTTGTCCTGCTCCTTCCCAGAACCATGTTGATAGGCAGTGATATGGTTTCCCTTGTAGTTCATTTTTTTTACATCATAATGATAGATAGGCCAACCTTGAAATGAAATAAGGAAATGGGAATATTTTCCTTTCTCTATGCCACCCACTTTGGAGGAAAAACAAGAGTCTGACTCATTACAAAGCAATTTTGTTTTAAAGCTATGACTTCCAAATAGAAAAACACCCTAATGAGAATTTTACTTTTTAAGTTTACAAGACAGTTTAATGTGTTTTATAATAATAATGTTGTCTGCTCCACAGTACGGTCAAAACATGAGAGATCCTTAGACCAGAGGGTAAACAAGCTCAAAAGAAAAAGGAAAGAGGCAGCTGAAAAGGAAAATTCACCAGCATCAATGGCTGATGGATGGATGAAGCCCAGTAAATATATTTTGCTTATTGGTTTGGTGATTTTATGAAGTTTTGTATTTTAACCAAATACATAAGTGTAGGTGAGAAAGATGGTAAAGTTAAATTTTGTAAAATGTGTATTTGATGGTAAATTGGAACATCTCTGTTTTTCTTAATCAGACATGGGCAGCTCTCCTGATAATGCTGTACTCGGAGCTACAGAGACACCTCCACCAGAACCACCAAAGAACCAGGAATCTGCTCTGAGACCTTTAACGACAACAACAATGCCAACGCAAAATAGCAAAAGAGCGCAGACGAAGCATCAGTGCAGTTCAAAGCTCATATACGTCAAACCCAAAGACAAAACAAAAGACTCTGGTAAAAAAACAACCACACAAACACAACTCCAGTTCCTCAGTGGTCAACAGCACAGCAAACGGTGAGAAAACTATGAGTGAAAACACACACATTCACAAACCCGGAGCACACTCTTTAGGGGTAAAGAACATAAGAACGGCCATACTGGGTCAGACCAAAGGTCCATCTAGCCCAGTATCCTGTCTTCCGACAGTGGCCAGTGCCAGGTGCCCCAGAGGGAATGAACAGAACAGGTAATCATCAAGTGATCCATCCCTTGTCACTCATTCCCAGCTTCTGGCAAACAGAGGGTAGGGACACCATTCCTGCCCATCCTGGCTAATAGCCATTGATGGACCTATCCTCCATGAATTTATCTAGTTCTTTTTTGAACTCTGTTATGGTCTTGGCCTTCACAACATCCTCTGGCAAGGAGTTCCACAGGTTGACTGTGCGTTGTGTGAAGAAATACTTCCTTTTATTTGTTTTAAACCTGCTGCCAATTAATTTCATTTGGTGACCCCTAGTTCTTGTGTTATGAGAAGGAGTAAACAACATTTCCTTGTCTACTTTCTCTACACCAGTCATGATTTTATAGACCTCAATCAGATCTCCCCTTAGCCATCTCTTTTCCAAGCTGAAAAGTCCCAGTCTTATTAATCTCTCCTCATATGGCAGCCGTTCCATCCCCCTAATCATTTTTTTTTTGCATTTTTTCTGAACCTTTTCCAATTCCAATATATCTTTTTTGAGATGGGGCAACCACATTTGCACACAGTATTCAAGATGTGGGGATACCATGGATTTATATAGAGGCAACATGATATTTTCTGTCCTATTATCTATCCCTTTCTTAATTATTCCCAGCATTCTGTTTGCTTTTTTTGACTGCCGCTGCACATTGAGTGGATGTATTCAGAGAACTATCCACAATGACACCAAGATCTCTTTCTTGAGTGGTAACAGATAATTTAGACCCCATCATTTTATATGTATAGTTGGATTATGCTTTCCAATGTGCATTACATTGCACTTGTCAACATTAAATTTCATCTGCCATTTTATTGCCCCGTCACCCAGTTTTGAGAGATCCTTTTGTAGCTCTTTGCAGTCTGCCTGGGTCTTAACTATCTTTAGTAATTTTGTATCAGCTGAAAATTTTGCCACCTCACTATTCACCCCTCTTTCCATGTGAATAAAAAAAACGAGGACTGAAAGCTCCTGAGATGCTGGGGTATCTCCTATGAAGTATCTGAAAATCATTATGAACCATTCTCCCAACACAATAAGCTCAGCACAGCTCTTTGGTATTCTAAAAAGATTTGAGGAAAATATGACGCTTCGTAAAGGGGGGACAGCATTTGGGGGATAAACAGATGGCTGCCCAAAAGTTACAGGCCAGGGTCACTGTAAAAAAATTTTAAAAGGCTAAAGATGTGATAAGGAGAAAAAAAACAAAAGAGATGCCCCCTATTGGAGGCTCTCAAACTGATGTGTCTGAGAATGGGGAGGTGGAATCTGACCCGCGGGGTGATGGTGACTCTCACACAGAGTCTGATTTAGAAAATTCCCCAGAAAGCTCTCTAGACGGGTCCCTGTCTACTCCTGATGATCCTCACCGTGGCCCCTCAAAGTCTGACTCTCAAATAGCGTCTCACATAGAAGACGCAGCTGATGGTCATAGAATCATAGAATCATAGAATATAAGGGTTGGAAGGGACCCCAGAAGGTCATCTAGTCCAACCCCCCTGCTCGAAGCAGGACCAATTCCCAGTTAAATCATCCCAGCCAGGGCTTTGTCAAGCCTGACCTTAAAAACCTCTAAGGAAGGAGATTCTACCACCTCCCTAGGTAACGCATTCCAGTGTTTCACCACCCTCTTAGTGAAAAAGTTTTTCCTAATATCCAATCTAAACCTCCCCCACTGCAGCTTGAGACCATTACTCCTCGTTCTGATACCATTGAGAACAGTCTAGAGCCATCCTCTTTGGAACCCCCTTTCAGGTAGTTGAAAGCAGCTATCAAATCCCCCCTCATTCTTCTCTTCTGCAGGCTAAACAATCCCAGCTCCCTCAGCCTCTCCTCATAACTCATGTGTTCCAGACCCCTAATCATTTTTGTTGCCCTTCGCTGGACTCTCTCCAATTTATCCACATCCTTCTTGTAGTGTGGGGCCCAAAACTGGACACAGTACTCCAGATGAGGCCTCACTAATGTCGAATAGAGGGGAACGATCACGTCCCTCGATCTGCTCGCTATGCCCCTACTTATACATCCCAAAATGCCATTGGCCTTCTTGGCAACAAGGGCACACTGCTGACTCATATCCAGCTTCTCGTCCACTGTCACCCCTAGGTCCTTTTCCGCAGAACTGCTGCCTAGCCATTCGGTCCCTAGTCTGTAGCTGTGCATTGGGTTCTTCCGTCCTAAGTGCAGGACCCTGCACTTATCCTTATTGAACCTCATCAGATTTCTTTTGGCCCAATCCTCCAATTTGTCTAGGTCCTTCTGTATCCTATCCCTCCCCTCCAGCGTATCTACCACTCCTCCCAGTTTAGTATCATCCGCAAATTTGCTGAGAGTGCAATCCACACCATCCTCCAGATCATTTATGAAGATGAACCATAGAGGAACCTCCAAATAACCCTGAAGATGCAGACCCCCAAACAGACGTGTATATGATGCGAGTGAGAAGCTGGCAACGGGAATTACCTAGACTTGGGGGTTCAGTGTATTATGAGGAATTTTGTTTTGTCAATCTTGAGTGAATGAATTCAGCTCAGCAGGTCATTGAAGCCATACACAGGGGAATACAGTTAGTTCTCGATGACCTTAACAAGAGGGTAGCCCCTGACGATTATGTTCAGTTACGTTTAGAGAGTCGTAATTTAACCAACCTTTGTTTTCAGTAAGAACTAGAGATGAGCTGTCTGCTGAAAACTTCTTAAATCAGAACTCAAAGCTGTTACAGAGTAATAGGGAGATGCATGTCGATGGGACATTGCACCTCGTTGTGACACGGTAAAAACCATGGGCGGGGGTGGCCACAGAGTTTTAAATTCTATCCTCAGTAATCAAACCATCCATAAAAAGAGACAGTGCTTAGTAGACCTGACTTACACCGGTACCAATCTGCGTTTTGCGGCCGGGTTCTTGGCTGTCATGTCCGACTGCAAACCCACAGATGGGGAGTTCTTAGACGGGGCGAGAAAGTTGCATGAGAAACTGGGGTGGGCAGATAAAAAAAAATTATGCTCAGCAACCTAGCGGCGTTTTAACAGCATTTAGGAGTCAACATACAGGTGATGCTTTATGCGGCAAAAGGCAGGTAGGTTTTTTTTTAAACAGGAGGCCCAGTGTACCCCAATACTTTTTTCATCCTGTTGCACGATGAGCATTATTATGGGGTTCTCGATGTGAAAAAGTTGTTCAGTGCGAAAAATTATTGTGACATTTGCCACATAGTGTACAGTCACGACCACTCTTGCAGGTATCGTTGCCACCTCTGCTTGAGTGCGACGTGCTCTGACAGTGTGGGCGTGCAGCTGAGGTGTCCTAGCTGTAGACTGTATTGTCACTCCAAAGAGTGCTTAGACAGACACGTTGACTGCACATAGAAAAAACAAGTCGAATGCCTGTCTAAAACGTTGTGTGATAAGTGTCAGTCTTACGTGGACAAAGGGCAGAGGTGTAAAGGGAGGCATTGTAAGCACTGTCAGGGTTTGATCATCGATGATGTAGACAGCCACCTGTGTTTTATGGATAGCATTAGAAAGCCTGAATCATCAAAAAAGTATATTTTTTTACAATTTTGAATGAATGCAGGAGACGGGGTTGCATGTGCCCAATTACATTTTTGCTATGTCCCTAAAGCCATAAAAATCCTGGGAATTTATGGGCTGTGAGTGTCTTTCTACCTTTGTTAAGACCTTCATTGGCAAAAAGTTCCAGGACTACATGTTCCTAGCACACAATTCCAAACGTTATGATGCGTACTTCGTTGTTAGACAGTTACTGAAGGAAAAGATGGGCATAGAACTGATAACTCAGGGTAGTAAACTAATGTGTATGGAAGTTAAGGCCCTAGGCATTCATTTTATAGACTCTTTAATCTTCTTGCCCATGAAACTTAGCAAGCTCCCGGAGGCGATGGGGTTTGAAGGTTGCAAAGGGTATTTCGCACATTTTTTTAACTCTTTAGAAAACCAAAATTACATGGGGCCTATGCCCGGGGTGAAGCTCTATGGCGTAGATAGCATGATGCCCAGGGAGAAAGCAGAATTTCTTGACTGGTATCGGGACAACAGATTTGAGACGTTTGACTTGCAGAAAGAGCTCGCACATTATTGTCAGCAGGATGTCCACATTTTGAGACGGGCCTGTATCCTGTACAGAGAAGAGATCATGAAAAGGACAGAGATGGGAGTTATTGTAGAGAGAGGCCCTGGTAAATTCACAGAGGTAAAATTGTGTATATAATGCTGGCTTCTGTCTGCATGGCTATGTACAGGTTTATGTTTTTGCAGCCTAACACAGTAGCTCCTCTCCCACCAGACAACTATCACAGGCAGAAAAAGAGATATTTGACCCCCTCTATTCAGTGGCTCTTGTATACCTCTTACAAAGAAAATATATAGATACGGCATGCTTTATAGGGAGGGGAATTACAGGTAGGTGCCCTACTTTCTAGACCATTACACCATCGTTAAGGGGGTAAGCACAGCCTTTGAGTTTAATGGGTGGTTTTTCCACGGCTGTGTCACCTATTGTTGTGAAAAAGCACAGAACCCTATGACGGGGACAACTTTTGGGTTTCTTTATTACAAGACGCAGCTCGAGACCGACTATCTGAAAAGACTTGTTTATGTAGTGAGGACCCTCTGGGAGCACGAGCGGGAGGTGATGATAGAAACAGAGAGGGAGACTGCAGATTTCTTAAACAAAGCCCAGTTGCCTCAGCCTCTCATGCCTACGGATGCTCTTTTTTGGTGGAGGACTAATGCTATCCGCCTATATTACAAACCTAACCCCAGTGAATAAATCCACTATTATGATTTTACCAGCCTGTACCCTTTCATAACAAAAACCAAAGAATACCCTATCAGAAACCCCCATTTTGTTCATGACAAATTTGGACCCTTTCCAATTTTGGAATTGCAAAAGTTAAAGTGTACCCCCGCAAGGCCTCTTTTTCACATTGTTACCTGTCAGAGTGGGTGGCAAACTTATGTTTCCGCTATGCCGAACCTGTGCAGAAACTGAGCAACGGGAGACATGCACCCATACTGACGAGGAGAGGGCCATTCTGGGGACTTGGTGCACAGTGGAATTGAATGTGGCCATAACGAAAGGGTACATGGTGGCTAAAATCTATTAAATCTGGCATTTTGAAGAAAAATCTGACAAACTCTTTTCAGAGTACATAAAATTACACCTCCACCAGAAACAAGAGGCTTCAGGGTATCCCAGCTGGATTTTCCTCTTGAGATCGGTGTCTCAGACACGAGCAAAAACAGCTGATGCATGATAAATTTACTCCCACAGGGCTATCAATGTGTGAGTTCTCAAAAGCCTCTAGAAAGACATCGTTGAGCTGAGAGATTTTCAGAAAAGAAACACTGTAAGCCCCCCTACTGCTTGTTTTTAGATTTACACAACCCTGGGTCAGTTCGTAACCCCATTACACCCCATCCTCGACCATCACTTCTCAATGGTTCATTTACCTAAGTGATGTCTTTTCCATTCACCTTGCCACCAGTGACTCCCTTGAGCTGTGGTCACCTTCCTCCATAGGGGTAGACAACGAAAGGCCGTCACACTCGTCGAGCTGCCTCACAAGAGCTTGGGTTTCAGGATCAGGTTACAGTGTATCCATCAATGCGATACAAAGGGCTCCCCATGGCCACTCCCTCCTCCTCTTCAGAACTGTTGCTGATGTAGTGCTTCCTCTACGGGTGGTCTAAGGTCTTCAGAGCTAAAACAAAGTCTGAAGTTCTCATGGGGTGGTGAAGGAGTCCATGTTTCCTCTCATTATTTCCATGATCTCTAAAACACACATTTTTAGAACAAAATGGCCTCTTCTGCACAGCACTGGGACTTCTGGGGGCAGTGCTGTGCTCTTATTGGTATAGGGCGGTGGGGGGAATTCTTAGAGGGGTCACATGACACCCTTTGCTTCTGGTCATGTGTCCATCTTGACCCTGGAATTAATACCCCCAGGGGGTGGGTCTTAGGGTGACAGGTGGGTGTGGCCTGAGGGATCAGGGGGCAGGGCCTACATGTGATTGACTGTAGGTCCCTCAAGTAAGTGAGGGACTGATCAATATTGCTTTGAAGATAATGGAAAGACTCCATTGACTTCAGCAGGCTTTGGATCAGGCTCCAAGAATCTAATTTTTAAAAGCATTTAACTGCCTTATGATGCAGATAGCCACTTAGTGGGATTTTCAAAAGGGGCCAAGTACCTACTTGCATCTTTAGATTCCACTGTCACCACCACCACTGTTGCTTTTACCATCAACCTCCCTTTTCTTCACCCCCTATCCAGCTGTTTTTCACTGGTCTGTCTGTTTGCCAGGTTTGGTTTTGGTAGGATGTGAAAACCAAACACATATTTATGTATAACAATTTTGCATTACATTTTCTAATAGAAAATCATTTAAAATATTAATGTACTGCATCATACTTGCTACTATTCTTCCTTCTCTCACTTTCCTCCAGTTTCTCTCCACTTCTTTTTTTCTCCTCCTCTCCCCTTCATTTTCACTCCCTATGGCCGATCAGCACTGCAGAGGCCTATGCTATTTCCTTCTCCCCCTCCCAGGGGAAGTGAGAACAGCACCTGGAATCCCTTTCTCTCCACAAGCCCACACAGTTAGGAGAAGGGGTCACCAGCCGCTATTTTCTCTTCCTCCTCCCCCATGGACAAGAGGCTGGACTGTGGATCTTCAGCTCTTGACCACTGGGGAGAAAAACCCACCATACTGCCACCCAACAATAGCTGTAACCGTCTTGTACTCCCCTTCCCATGACTCAGAAGAGAAAAGTGCAATGTCAACAATTTAAGGATCATGAGGAAAAGGAGAGGACATGGAGGGAAGCCAGGACTTTTGGCCAAGTGCAGAACAGGTGAGCATGATCTATGCCAGGGGTCTCAAACTCAAATCATCAGGAGGGCCACATGAGGACTTGTACGTTGGCCCGAGGGCCGCATCACCTCCGCCCCACGCTGCCTCCGCCCCTCACTCCACCCCTGCCCACAGGGTGCAACAGGGGGCTCAGGGCAGGGGTGCAGGAGGGAGTGCGGGGTGTGGCAGGGGGTTGGGGTGTGGCAGAGGGCTCAGGGCAGGGGATTGGGGAGCAGGAGGGAATGTGGGGTAGGGCAGGGGGTTGGGGTGCAGGCAGGGGGCTCAGGACAGGGAGTTGCAGGGTGCAGGAAGGGTTTGGGTTCCGGCCTGAGCGGAACCTTACCTTGAGCGGCTCCGGGGTGGCAAGGGCGTGCACTAGGGCCTGGGTAGGCTCCTGCCTGCCCTGGCCCTGGCCCCGTGCTACTCCACTCCAGGAAGTGGCAGGCACCGCTTCCCTGCGGCCCCGGGGGAGCAGAGAACTCCGTGAGCTGTTCTTGCCTGTGGGTACCTCCCCCTAAGCTCCCATTGGCCGCGCTTCCCCATTCCCGGCCAATGGGAGCTTAAGGGGAGGTAACTACAGGCAAGAACAGCTCACGGAGTTCTCTGCTCCCCGCCGCTTCCCGGAGCGGCGCGGGACCCTCAGCACCACGGGGTTGGCAAATGCCCGGGCCGGATCCAAAGCCCCGAGGGGCCGGATCCGGCCCGGGGCCGTAGTTTGCCCGCCCTTGGCCTGGAGGTAGGCTGGGGACACAGCGCGCTGGGGAGGGGATGGCGGGGGCTGTGGGGAGCTTGGCGGGCAGCAGGGAAGAACAGGCCATGTGTTTGAGACCCCTGATCTATTCCCTGGCTCCTTCCATACTCCCTGTAGATTCCTAGGAGGAGCCACTCCCCAGGTCATTACATTCTAGCTCCAACTCTGCAGCTGGTCTGCAGAGAATGGTGAGAGCAGTTGATATGCCTCCAACGAGAATACCATGGTGGCTGTGCTCTGTACCACCATCCCTTTTGAGGATCCCGATCAGGCTGGGCTCAGGATAATTGTCCTCCCTTGGATGGCAGCTGCTGAGAGGGGACAAATGGAGAAAGTGGGCCTTTGTGAAAAGGATTTCGGAGGTAGTAGCCATTATTGTGGACCCCAAAAGAATGGTGGCAGCAATCCATTTTTTGATTCAAAAATAGCAGCAATATGCCAACCACATGATAAACCTGCAGAGTGTGTGTGTGTGTCTGTGTGTTTGTTGACAGAGCAGAGAAGTGGATTGCCACACTGGAAGATGGCGGCTGTGGAAGAATCAGATTCAGAGACTCCAGAAGCTAAAGTGGAACCTTGTGGAGCTGCTGCAAGAAAGATCAAACAATGCAGAAAGCCAGACCAAGAAAGAGTCTTCATGTAACAGATCTCTGAGAAACCACTGAAGGGCCCCATGCCAATATATTCTTCTAATGTTGGCACCAAGTGTGAGATGCATACTGCCAGTAAAACCTATAACAAATTCTAAGCACAAATGGCTAGCCACTTTCCATCCCTGCCAACCACAGTCACCCACATAGTTGCTGAACATGTTAGGCAGGGAACAGAAACACTACCATGTGACTTAGATTTCCCATCACACAACACCAATTGCATAGACCATTGGAAGGAACAGTTCACAAATAACTTGTAGACTAAAAATTATTTGGCTGAACAACACTGGATTAACAAATATCTTCTTCAAAATCAGGATTCTCTCAAGAACATTTCACTAAACAAAAACAGGCTATGCCTTTCAAACCATCTTGATTCAACTGAAAGTAGAAATACAGGCTTATCCTGCCATGACAGAAAGTGGGGGGGGGAGCTAAGAAAAAAGAATAGAAAATTGCTACATCTGACAAGGACAATTACTAAACACGTCATGGAAAAACACCCAAATCAGAATGAGTAGGATTAACTAGTCCATACTATGGCTGAAGAGATGTGATTGTATACATCTGATTGTGAAAGAGCACACACAAAAATGGAACAGATATGGAATGGAAAACACCTGACATTATAATGAAGGCTCAGACCTTCCCCAGGCAATGGATGCACTTCATAGGAGCTGTAGAATTAAAAGTCATTGTTGTTTGATGCATGACTGTTTCCAAATTATTGCAAAACACAAGCTGCTTCTTATTTCTAAATAAAGCTTCATTGTTCAAAATATATATCTAAAGAGAGATGTGACAGGGTGCTATCAGCAGCACCCTGATTGCTGACATTGCTGCCGTCTGGAGAAGGCTGTAGGCCCAGCAGAGGGCAATTATACACTTTCTGGTGGGGGATTGTGAGCACCTGGGTGACAATCACTGGGTTAATAAGGTAATTTTGGAGAATATAAGGAGAGGAAGGTTGGGGGGCTGTCTGCTTTGTTGCAAGGATAGGTTCCTGGGTTAGTGGTTCTGTTATGTGGTTGCTGGTGAGTATTTGCTTCAGGTTGGGGGGCTGTACAACCTGAAGCAAATACTCACCAGCAACCACATACCACACAACAGAACCACTAACCCAGGAACCTATCCTTGCAACAAAGACCGTTGCCAACTGTGCCCACATATCTATTCAGGGGACACCATCACAGGGCCTAATAACATCAGCCACACTATCAGAGGCTCGTTCACCTGCACATCCACCAATATGATATATGCCATCATGTGCCAGCAATGCCCCTCTGCCATGTACATTGGTCAACCCGGACAGTCTCTACGTAAAAGAATATATGGACACAAATCAGATGTCAAGAAATATAACATTCATAAACCAGTCGGAGAACACTTCAATCTCTCTGGTCACGCGATTACAGACATGAAAGTTGTGATATTACAACAAAAAAACTTCAAATCCAGACTCCAGCGAGAAACTGTTGAATTGGAATTCATTTGCAAATTTGATACAATTAATTTAGGCTTGAATAGAGACTGGGAGTGGCTTAGTCATTATGCAAGGTAACCTATTTTCCCTTGTTTTTTCCTACCCCCCCCCCAGACGTTCTTGTTAAACCCTGGATTTGTGCTGGAAATGGCCCACCTTGATTATCATACACATTGTAAGGAGAGTGGTCACTTTAGATAAGCTATTACCAGCAGCAGAGTGGGTTTGTGTGTGTGGTGGGGGGGTGGGGGGTGAGAAAACCTGGATTTGTGCTGAAAATGGCCCAACTTGATTATCATACATATTGTAAGGAGAGTGATCACTTTAGATAAGCTATTACCAGCAGGAGAGTGGGGTGGGAGGAGGTATTTTTTCATGCTTTGTGTGTATATAAAAAGATCTTCTACACTTTCCACAGTATGCATCCGATGAAGTGCGCGGTAGCTCATGAAAGCTTATGCTCAAATAAATTGGTTAGTCTCTAAGGTGCCACAAGTACTCCTTTTCTTTCAGTGTAGACACTAACTAAAGCGTCAGGAAGGGTTCTCCCATTGCTGTAGTTAATCCCTGCTCCCCTTCCCCACACTCTGGCTCCCTACTTTACCCAGTGCTTTTGCAGATGTACCTGCATTTACATTAGGAGGTCTTACTAGTGCAGCTATATTGGTCAGAAGTCACACTGTATCACACCGCTGATGGACAAAGCTATGCTAGCAAAAGTCTGTAGTGCCAACCTGGCCTAATTTGGGGGCTGTTTTTGTTATTTTCACTGGGTAATTCACAGGGCTACTCACATACCACAGGAAAAAATACCTCTACTACCTGGCAAATAAGTAAAGGAAATCATGCAAGTCACGGTAGGCAGAACCCCTGGAGTAAACATGAAACGCAGGTGGAGAATATGTAATGCTGCCAGTAACGTCAGCCCGCCGCTGTGATATCACTTTGTAAATATTTGCAAATTGAAAGCTTTCAAATATCAAATGCACGTACTGGTTATGAAACACATATATTCAGCTAACAAACCATAGTCTTTATTCTTAGCACTGACATCTGTTTTGTGCTCTCAGAGAACTGTTCATTAATCCATAACAGTCAGCCGCATAGTCGTGGGGCTTTAAATTCCAGGAAGCACAGAACTTGTATAGGTGACAGAGAGACAACTAAATGAAAACAAGGAAGATAACATTACAAACCTGTGGCAGCAGGCACAGCACAGCCAAACGACACACCTGCCATGCTAGAGTTCTGGAGATATACTACACAGAACTTAGAACCGAGTTTAGTCGTGGGTCCCAGACTCCTAGGAACCGATCCAACTCCTAATAATGTCAATAGCAGTCTTTCCACTGACTTCACTGATAGCTGGATCAGATACGATTATTATTACATGTAAATTTCTGCATAGCAACTAGGCCAAAGAGCAGTAACCACATGCATGATAAGGATTGCAGAAAACTGAGCTAGAAACCTCTCAAAAACAGGCTGTATCACGAGATTTCTTGTTTATCTTCCTTCCGTATGAACCTGACATGCCATGAGAATCGCCTTTTTCACAATATTTCTGATTGCAGCTATAACTGCAGCCAGATTGCGCTGAGCTGTGTGAAAATGGAAGATAATGAAGAAAAACAGTTAGCCAAATACTGGTCATTTGTAAGCTTCCAAGATGTTCCATTTCATTTGTGTTCTAGAAATGAGCAAATGCTGAAGAGGCTGCTTCTTGTCAAATGCCTATCAGCCATCCCTAGCAGTTGCATTTTTTGTTGTTAAATACTGGAAGACAAACTCAGAGGGGATGTGAAAAGTACAGCCACATAAAAATGTTGAGGGGGAGGGGAAGAAGGCATGAGAATGCTTGAGGTTTTCTTATGTAGTGCATAATTAGTCTGTAGGACCCACTGACACAACATTGAGGCCAACAGCTTAGCAGAATTTTAAAGAAAGATTAGACATTTATATGATTAAGGTTATCCACACTTCCATAAAATATATGGAATGTATATATAAATATACAATGTATAAGGACTACAAACTTTCATTCTTTCAGGCACAAGTCAACCACTTACTGCCTGGAATTAAGAAGAAACTTCCCCTAAAGACAAGTTTTTCCATAATTGTCCTTTATAGCATTTCTTGGAACCAGGCAGTGCAAGATAAATGATACCAGAGTGACCACACATCTGAGCTGGAATGGCAACCTGTATCTATCTATGAGAACTGCAGCCATGTTGAAAATATATAAAAAAAAAATTGTTGCTCATACTCATACACCACCCCCCACAACTGTGTCTCTGATTATGAAGTCTAAGCAAGTCTAAGCTGGTGTAAACTATACACTAATAGACTCAACATGAAACACAACTCATTGGAGGTTATAAGAAACCACAAGGTAAAGTAGGTGTGGGACACAGTCTCGGCTTTCCTTCCATGTACACTTCAATCTACACCTGCTTCTAGCCTCTCAAGCAGGGTCGGATTTAGGGGCAGGAGACCCAGGTGACCACTTGGGGTGCCAGGCTTAGGGGGCGCCACGCTCAGGGTGCTGTTTTTGATGTTAGCGACAAAAGGGAA